TCTCTCTGCTAAAAATTCTTTTGTTGGAATTAAAAAAAGCAACAGCTAGCAAGTGTTGGAAGATAAGGACTTTTATGCTGTCTTCTACTTCAGCCTTCAGAGTTAGAGTGATAGAGAGGCCTTTCCTTTCTGTTTCTCTGAAGCTGTTCTTTGAATTGTAGAATGCTAATCTCAAGGTGAACTTCCTTCCTTCCACTTTTGATCCCTCTCTCGCACACATTGCCAGATCTCTCCATCATGGTATCACGGATGCAGGCAGGGATTTTTTTCTGGGGGAATGTGCCAGAATGCAGTTCTGGAACCTCTTCAACAAAATTATTTTTAAAATGTTTAAAAACGTTCATGAGTTTTCAGTATACAGATTGAAAACTTCATTTCCCTCTTAAGAGTTCCAGCACCTCTTTAAAAAAAAAAAAAGCCCTGGATGCAGGACATGTTTTCCTGCATCTATATCCACCCTAGCTAGTTAGATTAGGCTACCATCCGATCTCTACTCTTTCCTGCCTAGAATGGAGTTCTATTTATTTATTTATTTATAATTTCAATTTGTATCCCGCCTAGCCACAGGACTGGCTCAAGGCGGCTAACAACATTTAAAACACTAAGACAGTAAATACATTAAAATACATTAATAAATTAGGACTACTCAACCACTAGGTAGTACTACCGTAGTAATAAATAAAGGAACTCATATTAGCTTGAAACAGTAAAAGAGGCTCCATGTAACTTTGGTCTTATCAGCACACACTAACAGACTGGAGAAGCTTTGCTGCGTGGGAAACCTTGTGCACTCTGTTAACTTATTAATGGCTCCTGGCTATACCAAACCAGAGAATCTAACAGCAAGGAACTGGAACTTGGGGTACCAATACTGGAGCTGGTTATCAAAGGTTCACGTGTACAAACATCCTTAGAAAACAACTACTCACTTTCGCCACTCTCCTGATATGTGTGTCCCCAAAGCACATTCCCAGGTGCCGTATTCTAGAATTTGATTCAATGCGTTTGGGAGACTAAAAAGGCTCATGGAGTTGAATACTGTGAGCTTACATAAATGCTGGGAGCAATGCTATTGCATTCCTAAGGGCAGCGTGGGGCACTGAGCAAGAAAGGAAACGGGGACTACCATAAACAGATCCCCAGCCCACATGCTGGGGGAAACCAGGAGTTGAGAGCAGGGGGTCCCACCGAGGCATAAGCCCCTTCATGGAACCCTCGCCACCTGGGAGTGGAGCCAGGCAACTGCTCTGAGCTGGGCATGCCACTAAATGGCTCAACCCACAAGACCCCTTAAAGGGTTCCCCACCCTGGTAAGCAGGCACGCAGGTGCAGCGTCTTCACAAATGGATCCAGCCCAATGCCTAAAACTGCCATAAAGCCACGACAAAGACAATTTCAGTGAAATTACATTTGCAAGAACCAAATTTTTTAAAAATGGGGGGGAGGGAGTGTCCGAAGTGCAAGAGAGGACTCACCACGGGCTGCTAGGCTTTAAATAAAGGAGGTGTGGGGCCGGGCAGCAGCTGACACTCGCCCAGGCCTGCCCCCAACTCAGCCCAGGGGGAGGAGCCAGCGAATAGCCAGTGATTGGCTAGCAGCTTGGGAGTCTGCCCAGCCACCTGAAGGCCCCAGGAACCGCTGCGGACTGGCCCAAGCCATGCTGCAGCTTTGCCATGTGGTTCCTTCCTCTGCCGGAAGCCCCCATCCCTGCAGCTGCAAAGCAGCCACCAGTAAGTCAGTGGCCACAGATTGTTGGTTGTTCCGTGCGCCTTGGTGTTTAGTCATGCAGGCCACATGACCACGGAAACGTCTTCGGACAGCGCTGGCTCTTCGGCTTTGAAACGGAGATGAGCACCGCAACCCTAGAGTCGGATTTGACTGGCTTTCGAGCAAGGGAACCTTTACCTTTACCTTACACCATCGCAAGGTCATCCACAGGTTGTTTTAATTGGTCGTTACGCCATTGCAAGGTCATCCAGAGACTTCTTTTCCCACTACCATATTATTAGTTTAACCTTAGAAGCCCAGAATCCTATGATTGAAGGAATAAGCAAGTCCCTACCCAAGCATATGAGAACTTCTTCACCTCCATTTCTCTTTTTCTTCTGTGTGCATCTATGCCATCTCTATTAATACAGGCCAAAAGCAGGAGGCAGATTTGATAAGAGCCCATCAGTACCTGATTTATTTTAGCTGTTGGCTTATCTGGGAAGAGCACCGAATGTGCCTGGAGGAGTAAACTGGATACCAAGGGGAAGAATATGAATTCACCATGAATAAAATCTGGCACTGTGGAAGAGGTGAATAAATTTGTTTGACAGGAACACCTGAACCGGTGGAACTCTGGATCACCATAAGCCAATGGAGCACTGCTTGTGCTTATCTGATTTCCTGAACTGATTTTAAAGTCAAGTGTCATGTCACTGTACTTAATACAGATTCTGAAAGAGATCAGAGGCCCCCTTATTTCTACAGCGACATCAAGAAACGCATTCATGTAAAGGAAGAAAGTCGTATAGAACTCCATTTGTTGGTGACATGAGTCAGTGTCAAAGATTCTATTGCACTAAGATGCACTGCATTGTGTACAGATAGATTAAAACAGATAAACATTTTATAGGTAAAGGTAAAGGTTCCCTTGCTCGAAAGCCAGTCAAGTCCAACTCTAGGGTTGCGGTGCTCATCTCCGTTTCAAAGCCGAAGAGCCAGCGCTGTCCGAAGACGTTTCCGTGGTCATGTGGCCAGCATGACTAAACACCAAGGTGCACGGAACACTGTTACCTTCCCACCGAAGTGGTGCCTATTTATCTACTTGCAATTTCTTGCTTTCGAACTGCTAGGTTGGCAGGAGCTGGAACTAGAGACGGGAGCTCACTCCGTCATGCGGCACCCGGGTCTCGAACTGCTGAACGACCGACCTTCCACAGCCTGCAGTTCAGCGTCTTAACCACTTGAGCCACCGCTAGATTAAAGCTAGATTAAAACAGGTAAATATATGGAGGTGAGGTAGGATGAGATGGGGGATTTGAGAGCACATCACAGTTCATTTCTTTCGGCAATCCAGTTTTGGCCTGCTCCTGATACCACCCTGCCTCCTTCCCATTGGCATGTAGCTCCCTCTGGAGACTCCCCAAGAGAGACACACAAGGATATTATAATGAAATGAAATGAAAGTCAACAACAAGGCATTTCATTAAGCAGGAAATACACTCACCATGAAAAAGCTTAAAATGTGATTTCATTCATGCTGCCACCTGCCCATTTCCCCCTCTTCCAAGGGTAAAAAAATTGCATATTGTTTGTATACACAGGGCCCCTGAGCAGTATCAGGCAGTAACCCAATCTATTTTTGGATCCCCAATGGACTCTATTAATCCTTAAAGCTAATGAGGCATCTCCGGGAGGAGGGGTGGAGACTGGACTGCAAAATCAACTGCTGGCCTTTAGGTAGTTCCATATTTTGCTTTCCTAACATCTCTGGAAAAAATAGTCCCAACTGACCTGGATATAACAGCTGAGCTGGCTCAAGGACCACATGTGAACGTACTCTTCTAGAGAAAGTATGAACAGCTACTGACAGCTACATGGAATACCATCTGCGGCAGCATCCAGTCGAAGTAGCTTCTGTTTGGCAAGTTTCTCCGCGGTGCAAGTCAAGCATAGCTTGTCTGGCAACACAACTCATGTGGAGTCTCCCCCCACCATAATCATGAAACAGTGACGGCGAAATGGAAACCCTCCACGCAATCGACATTGGAGGGCCCTATTTGTTTATTTTTTAAAAATCCAAATTTTGATTAATAATAATGTCCAAGGTAACACACAAAAATTCTAAGGCCAAATTCACTAAAAAAAACCCAACCCCAAAAACCAGTGCATGTAAAAGCAAGTTAAACGAAACAATTTAAAACAATAATCTAATTTTAAAGACAAATGACAAATCTGCAGAGATTTGCCAAGCCAGGGCTGGGAAGCCTATCCATAAGTGCTTCTCATCAATTAGAAACAGGATGGCAGTGGGGGAGACAGCGGCAGCCGCCGCCGCTGAAAAACCTCTGATGCTTGGCCCAGAGCAGTCTGAACTCTGAAGCCATTCATAGACTACTTACCTGCTCTCAGCTGTCCCATCTCTTACTAATAATCAAGACATCATCAATAAAAAAACCCTCCCAACGATGTCAGGCTTCCAGTATGTTTATTTTTGTGGAATCCATTTACAGTGCAATCTTAAGTAGAGTTACACATTCCTAAGTCAATGGACATAAAAATGTAACTCTGCTTAGGACGGCACCCTCAACTGAAATGTTACTTGCACGGAAACTGGAGAGGAACTAAATTTTAACTTGAACAAAACCGGCCTTTGGCAGAGACTGCAGAAAAAATGAATATAGGGCAACTTGCTTGATTGGATTTTTTTCTTCCAGCTTTGGGACTTTTTGAGCGCTGAAGTCTCCCGAAGACTACTGGCTCTTCGTAGAGCTAAAGAGAAAGCGAAGCGACAATTCAGAACAGTGATATGGTTACGGAATTAGAAAAGATTGTTTGATCTCTTCCAATAGATACCCCATAACTTTGCATTAAATGAAACTGATCGCTGTTTGTACCTTTTGCCTGAAAGTGAAAGTCCATGGACAGCTGGCCACAATGCACATTCTTGGCAACTAGGCACCCCTCCCCAAGCCTCTGTAACATACTAGTGAGAGCCAAGCCATGACCAAGAGTCTTTGCATCCCTGAATAACTGAATATCCTAGAAGTTCCACCTGTAATGCTAAAACAGGTCTGCATTATTCCACCAACGCTTTTTCCATCACCGCACCCTTACCACCGCTGGTGCGGGTACCATCGGGGGTACGAGACGTACCTGGCGGATGGTAAGGCTACGGGGACATGTATATGGTTGTTGGATTGATATACAGCTGTAGAACACCATCTTGATTTATGAATTGGAGCGAGTAGTGGAGCACCGATATTTTATTGATTGTATTATGTTGTATATTGTATTGTATTTTTATACTGTTCTTATTGTTTTGTTAGGCATTTATGCCCTTGTTAGCCTCCCTGAGCCTTCGGGGAGGGCGGGATACAAATCTAAAAAATAAATAAATAAATAAATAAATAAAATATTACTGAGAATGTACACACGAGTTAAGAATTCCCATCCTTCAGTATGGGCATTCACGTAAAGAGAATGCTAGATGTCATGTAAAAATGCCTTTCCTCTAAGAAATAGGCCCTGACCTGGATCACCCAGGCTAGCCTGATCTCATCAGATCTCAGAAGTTAAGAACGATTGACTCTGGCTCAAATTTGGATGGAAGACAACCAAGGAAGACCAGGTTGCCATGCAGAAGCAGGTGAGGGCAAATCACCTCCAAACGTCTCTTACCTTGAAATCCCTATGGGGTTGCCATAAGTTGGCTGTGACTTGACAGCACTTTTCACCTCCGCCACTAAGAAACAGAGCGTACATTCTACAATCTTATGGTAGCACCATGGCCTTAGAACTGACAATTTAAGATTTTCCATGAGATGTGCATGCAGATTAATTGTTTAAATATTAATTCACCACCAGAGGGCAGCGTTTGTCAGCCAGTATTTCCACTGAGCCTTTATCAGCTTCTTCAAGATTTCTATTTCAGTTTAGCAGATTCTTACATCACAAGAGCTCATTTGTGCTCTACCATTTCTATAGCTTTTATTGTTTTCTTCGGCATGTGGGGGGGTTTTTTTGGAAAGTTATTTATCACCCCAAGCATTCCCATGGGAAACACACAGACCACGATAAATGTAATTCTCACAAGTAGCTTCAAGAAAAGCCAAGTCACATTGCTTGGCCTCATGAACAACACAGACATGAAAGTCCATGCAATGATAGCGGTAGGCAGGCACAGATATTAGTCAACTAAGTAGGGCAAGCAGGGCTGAAAAGGGACGAGAGCACATGATCGATCATGTGACCTGCTGAGAAGAAAGAAGAGTTTCAAGATAAGAGACCTGTAAGCTGATGGGAGAAGCCGTTGCAATCAGGTCATATTCTTGGAAAGAAAGTTAAGTTTACCAACAGAGGTTTGGACAAAATAGAGAGGCAGGGTGGGAAAAAGCAACTACTTTGACTTCAAATGGGCTCTTTCCGCTGGACATGCCTTTGAGTTCATTGTGACATTTGAGCTAGAGGCTCAAAGACACTTGTAGTGGCATGTGTGGAAATGCCCTAATATCACTGTAAGAATACCAAACAAGAAGGCTGTTGGGCAAAACAGCCTTCTTGTGGGACTCCAGTCGCTAAAGTGAAACAGAAATGTTGAGGCGAAACAGTGGAATTTGTTTCGAAGTCTGTTGACAGTATTTTGCTTGGTATCTAAAATGAAAGGAATATGTAGGTAGGCGCTGTGGTTCTGTTATGCATCACAAACCCCTCCTCCTCTGACTGAAGGAAACCTCCAATAATCTCTCAGGTCTTCTTCATTCCTCAGAGACTAAAGTGAGAGGTATACTTAAGTCCAGGGCTTTTTTTTTGTAGAAAAAGCCCAGCAGGAACTCATTAACATAATAGGCCACACCCAACAGCAGGGACTCATTAGCATATTAGGCCACACCCCTGACAGCACAGCTCATTGGCATATTAGGCCACACCCCCATGTTACCAGAAGTGTGCTCATCCAGCCACACCCACCTTTCCCTTCTTATTCTGTTTACCTTGTTTGTTGTCCAAACCCAGGGCTTTTTTTGTAGCAGGAACTCCTTTGCATGTTAGGCCACACACCCCTAATGTAGCCAATCCTAATGAGTTTCTGCTGTTGGGTGTGGCCTATTATGCTAATGAGTTCCTGCTGGGCATGGCCAACTCAGGAGCCAGCCGGAATTCCATTCCTGTGCGTTCCTGCCCCAAAATAGCCCTGCTTAAGTCCCCCATATCCCTGCAGCAGTATGGAGAAGCTAGCATACAGAGAGAGAGAGAAAGACACCATCCCAAGAAACCAAACTTGTTCCTAAGCTCTCTGTCCACAGCAGCACATCAATGGGTGGTAAGCTTTCTCCTTGCCACTCCAGAGAATACCAGACATGC